GTCATATAGGTCGCGTACGGGCTCCCGGGTTAGAGACACCGAGCAAAATTGCAGTGGCGTTCTTGCATCTACTCAGTATTCTTGCAACATCAGTCCATAATAATTCTCCATCTTCCACTTGAATTTACCCTCAGCATTCCAATCTTCATTCTGCTCTTTTATCCAAATGGACGACCAAAAGACACCAACCATAACCGGAGCACGAAAGTGCATGGTTAATGTTTGTAAAACTAAAAACTGAGGGCTCCCTGGATCATTGTAATCAATGGTTAGGAGACAATAATTGAAATGACTGAATTTCTCGAACAGTGGCGCTCGTGTATTACTCATTATCCCTGCAACCGTAGTCCATGTGAATTCCTTATCTTCCTCTTGAATCTGCTCTCAACATCCCAACCTTCATTCTGCTGTATCATCCAAATGGGCACTCAAAAGACAGAAACCGAAATTTCAAACTGAAAATGGGGTCTGAAAGAATCTGCAAGTGGTTGGTTGTTGACGCTGAAGGATATGGCAGCAAACTAACAATGGTGTCATTTCTTATCAGGCCAGAATGCTTGAAAACCTATGTATGCACAGTTAGGTTGTGCACTCTGTAAGTTGACCACGGAGGTTCACTTTCATTGCATCCCTCCAGTTAGGCCCAAACATTATCCTTCTTGTACTTTCTTACTTACTTTATTCACGTTGAAAGCCCGGCAGCTATCAGCTTCTCGGTATCTCGCTGTACGATGATAATGATGAGCGGTATGTTGATATCTCGCGAAACGCGTCATCTTTCGCGCTTGAGGTAATGTTACCACATCATCTAATTGGCAACATCAGACGACGAATGACGAACGGCATATGATTGAAACCCCATAGTCACTGTTCATTCATGGGAGCCGGCAACCTAAACCTTGGGACTTGGAGTGGCGAACCACCTTAGGATCAACTAGCACAGACTTGCAATTGAGCCGCGTGATAGTGAAGCTGCCTACCACCTGCTTTGAGCTAGCGTGCGATGCGTTTGAAAGCACAGCATCAGTGACAGCCGCACTGACATACGCTGAAAGCACAGTAAGTTGCCCGAAAACAGGTACATGTATTAGATGTATGCTGATGACAGTTCGCTTTCAAATGTTCAATCATGCATCACCATCAGATCTAATCTGTGTCTAACCCGTTGTTACGTGGCATACACAGCGGTCACTCTGTCTGTAGCACTATTTCGCACAACACAATAAAGACGACCGGAAATTTTGTGGTAAAACAATCAGCAAGGTTGTATTCAACACCGATACACAAAAAGTATCACAAATAATTGGTTGCGTCAAGTAGTACAAACTCTATACCCCTTGCACCGTAAAAACTTTGTAATTCCAGAATAGAAAGAATAGAATAAACTGAACACAGGAGAATGTAGAAATAAGCAGAGCGAACAGATCGGGATAGGCAACTGGCGGGTGCCAGACGGTTTGTGCAATGAAAAGTAGACAATAGCCGGACAATAAAGACCAGAGTATGCGGGAGGGATAGGTAGGAGACGGTTTCTCCGGTTCAGTAGAACGAGGTGAACGAAACAGCACAACTAAGCCCAGTGACAGGAAAATAACCGTGGTACATGCACAGGGCAAAATCAGTCGATCTTTCAGTAACAATGGCCACATACTTAGAGTAGAACTCAGCGAAAACAGAAACGACGAGAATGGTGAGATTGGAATGAGACAAAGGGCCGGGACAGTCACGAGTAAAATGGATTTCTCATGCACTTGATAGGAGAATAGGAAAAAAGTTAGCGAGGTAGAGCAGAGAGCGTATAATAGCCGATGTTTTGTGGGACGAAATAACAGGAACAGACATACAGGTAGGCTCATCACAGCGACGCACACAGCACACAGTTCAAC